AATTCGTAAAAATAATTGAAGATAATACCTCAATTAGCCCAAGAAAAATGTATGGACGATTGGATCAAGCAAATTTGAAACTGACAAACTAATTTTTATAAAATATATAAGATCAGGGTATTAATAACAATAATATTAATTATAAAAATAATAATTAATAATTAATTATATTTTTAATTACTTACTACCTTCTTAACGCTACGCATGGGGATCTTTATTATATATATTATATACATATTATATAATATATATTATTATTAAGCAAATATATGAAAAAATATTGCACGCAATCATGTCAATTGTGAGTATAATGCAATTTGTTAAATTTAGTTTTTTAACTAGTTTTTCTTTAATACTTAATTTTTTATATTAACATAATATTAACATTAATAGCAAAACTAATTTCCACATACTCCACGATGTTAATAAATATCAAAATTTGGTATTTAATAGCGCCAACTCGGTAAGCCAAGACTTAACTGACCTCGCAGCTATCATGGCGTGTTTAAACTCCGCCTGTCTTTAGAATCAATAGTAACGGGGTTTGGATTAGTTACACTGCGGTACTGTGTTCGCTAAAAATAATTACTTTTTAAATTAAAAATTATTCAGCTATCAGACAAACCACAATAAAACGCTTTTATTTAGAAATTTGAAGCAGATATTTCGTTCTTTATTTTAGAACATCTTCAGTGCTTGATTTTTAATAAAAAGCTTAACTTAAGGTTTATGAATTAAAAATGACACTATTGAACTCAAAAAAAATAAAATGAACAATAATTATTTTTATTTTTAACATCACATATGTTAAGTGATCAGACAATAATAAAACTTAAAACTTTAAGTTTAAGTTTTAAGTTTTAAGTTAAGTTTTAATAATGATCACTTAACATATGTGATGTTAAAAATAAAAATAATTATTGTTCATTTTATTTTTTTTGAGTACAATAGTGCATTTTTTATATATACCTATGTTAATTTTTCGTATATATTGTTTTAATTTTAAATTCATAAACCTTAAGTTAAGCTTTTTATTAAAAATCAAGCACTGAAGATGTTCTAAAATAAAGAACGAAATATCTGCTTCAAATTTCTAAATAAAAGCGTTTTATTGTAGTTTGTCTGATAGCTGAATAATTTTTAATTTAAAAAATAATACGAAAACAGATATAAAAAAAAAACAAACTTAAAAATAATTACTACCCACATTTAACTTTACCCCGAATTAAAACTTGAAAGTGAAAATTTATTATTTGCCAGCAAAGAAGTTCATTGCTCCTTTATAATCTTTTATAGTCAAAGATCATAATCGTAATGTTCAGTTGTATTTTGAGTCCTCTTAAGAAAATATCTTTATATATTATGATTATTTTTATCAATACTATAATAATGTTTACCGGCACATATAAATTATTGCGACTCGCGTAAGTTTCAGTCCCAATAAATTTTATGTTTTTTAATTCAACTGTGCCTGGTGGCAACTGCCCTATGGATTCCACCCCAATGCTTGTTTAGCTATCTTGTTTTTAGGTCTTATGATGGCCAAACCACGACTACTTACGCTTTCTGGTTACACATATTCTTTGAGTTTGATTAGTCTGTATTCACAGTTTCTGATTGGAGATTCTCTAAATTTTATGAATGCAACGCAAACACTTCTTAATAAAGACTTGTTGTCTACAAACTTCGCATATTCAACTCAAACACAATCAGCTCATCATCAGCGTAGTTCAGGTATTCTAGTTGATCGAAAGGAAACTACTAAGTACTATATCTACCATGCATCGCATTTCTTACAGCTTCATCTATTACTAAAATAAAGAAAAGTGAAGAAAGTACCCACTCCCAACGGACAACACTATTCACTTTAGAGGTATGTGATAGAAGCTCAACATGATTTACGCGACATTTAAACCCAACATACATAGGCTTTATGATATTGAATAGTTTAGTAGGTAGATCGCTATTCGAACTAATTTCCACAGATATCTTCTAACAAGACTATTGAATGCTTTTTTATAAAATCGATGAAAATTAAGTAGACGACGTTTTGTATTTACAACATAACTCAACTATAATTCGTATTGTATTAATAAGGTCCATGCACGATCCGTTTTTCTAACGCCAGAAAATCTTAAAACTGATTTTCGCACACCTTTCTCCGCAGCCACCAAGATTGTAGCGAAGACTTTGCTTAGAATGCGTAACATCGTTATGCCTTTATAATTGTTAGAGTCTGAGACGTTCCAAAGCACAATATCTTTGAATTGCGTGCCAGAGCAGCAGGAGATACAATATAATAAAATTGCGGATAAACTAGATAATTACGTTAAATACGTTACAAATTACGTTTCTTTGTAATCTTCTTTTAAAATGAGCTAACTACTGACTTTTTTAACGAAAAACTATAGCTACCAAGTAATGATATCATTGGTAAACTTATGAAACCATTTAATTGAAATATCGTATAAAAAAGCTCAAAGATCACAATTGAAGATAATTATCATAAAATACTACATTAAAACAAATGTAAAGATTAGTGCAACTAGTAGCTTAGAAGCATTAATTATAAAATAAAAATTAAATTAAAATTTTTGTAAATTAAAATTGTTGTGTATTGCGAAAATGATTTGGAAAACAAATTATTACTTTTGGGTGCAGTGATACGAAATTCAAAAAGAGAAACTGCTTATTGCAATATTCACGGCTTTAATAAGTCCAATGCAACATGAAGAAAATTGATCAAATATCATGCGAGACGCTCGCTACGTACTATTATTAAAGTTTTCATAAAGCTGCAATTCTGAGAAACAATCGTAAAAACCGCACGCCAATTGCTTCACCTCTAATTATGCCCTATTGAATGTAGTAAGAGCGATTTCAACGTGTGATTTGATGTGGACATGCCTCCGCACTCAGCGCAATCACTCATGTTTTTCGTCAGTCATTTGATGGCTAAAAGCGAAATACTTCATAAAATGCAATGATGGCAAAGTGCATGAGTACGTACTCGAATGTTTATCCATCTATGCAAACTTTTAAAAAATATTTCTGAGTCAAAGGATCAAGTCAGGCGGAGACTCTTAACAGAAATTTGTAATAGTTGAAGCTTCTCATACTTACATATTCGAAAATCACACAAATATATTCAACAATTTTATTTGAATTCAAATAGATGATGCCAGAAACCTATATTATTAAAATATCTACAACTAAAATGTTTTTAATTTTTTTATTATTATTTAAATTGCACTGAGTCACGACGTTACTATAGTTAAGACAATTCACTTTAGCAATAGATCTTTAGTAAAAGTTAATATTGAGTAATTTTTGTAGCAAATCTATGGAGTCAGTGTTATACACATAATGTATTTAAGAAACAAAGAACAGTGAACGGCTACATAACTAAATAAATATTTTACTACTCGAATATAGAACAGAGAATCACACCATAAGAACAGAAATGAAGAACTTAATAACAAAATAAGCATCGATCAGAAACGGAGAACAGTGAACGGTTTCATATCTAAATATATATTTTACTCCTCAAATATTGGAAAACATTTGGAATGCCACTAAGTGGTAAAGTTCATAAAATAAATGCAACTTCAGCACATACTCTTGATACAATGCCTAGAGTGATTCGGAGACGAAACAATATCTTCAATACAGAAATTATCAATATTATTACTTATAAAACTTATTGTTCTACTTATTGTTCAAAGAAAGGTTTAGAGCTAAACAAGAAACACAAAAACTCTAGCAAGAGTTATTTTGGAATGGAATGTTATGATTCAGTGGTTTAATATATTCTGATCTTATATTCATACCAATTGTCACACCAACAAAACCAATCATAAATATTGCATAACCAATCATAAAACAATATGCATAATATTTAATCCACGTAATTGCACATCTACATCTAGGTGCGTTAAGGGTTAAGGGTTTGGGTTTCTGGTCATAAGAATATCTTTGGCGGATTAACTTGCCAAGGCAGAGGCTCTTCTCTTTGACATTCAATTCTTAGATATTGCCGTTTCACTTACAACAGCGTACGACTGGCAATTCAACAAAAATATCTAAACATGGTCAAGCAACACTAAGCTGATGAATCCAGCTATTCTTATTCTTAGTCGATTTGGTCTAATTTGGACAAAAAAGGTACCAGTCAGCTACTTCAACTAAAGGTGATTCTGTTCAGCACTACGGTATTAGTGCTGACGGGTCACTGCATAATACGGAGGCATGCTATGAGATTAGGTCTTCATTATAATGACCTTTGCCGCAGCTGTGCCTCTGAGGACGCGGAATAAACTGTGTTTTATCTCATATGTCAGTGCCCATCTTTAGCTAGTAGAAGATCCTTACCAATCTGACTGAGCTATCATCCTGCAATAATTGGGACTTACACCGGTTCATAGAACTGACAGGTTGGTTTACCTTTATCTAATACGGAAAGTCGCTGCAAATTTCGGATTTCGCCGTTTACTAATATTTTAGTCTATGTACGAATCAATAATGGTCCATAACGGACCATTATTTGAGCTCAAGCAGGCTTTCTTGCTATACAACTCCGCCACTCCAACGTAACTTAACCTAACCTAATGGTACATCGGAAACACTCTAAGTGACATGTTAGATGATATATAAGTAAAAGTGCTTACTTTGGGAGTCTCTACAATATAATACATAAAATGAAATCAAAACAAATGCGGGTATATTACTTACAAATCAATTTCCAGCTTTATTTATGCCAACAAAGTTATAAACTATCCAATTGATGTGTTATTTTCCATCGCACTTAGGATTAGAGTAACAATCTTACTTTCGTGCATTAGTAGAATACATAAACCGTAGAACAAAACTAGTTTAGCTGTCAAAAAACTGATGTCAAATATTGGTGAAGCAATCATCGTAAGTAAAGAGTCGTAAGATGCTCTTCTCATACCATGCATACAAATCATTGTCATCATTTACCTAGGTTATAAACCTCTTAAGTCTAAACGCATTTAATTGTTTTAGGAAACTTAAAATTTATATGTTCAAATTATATACATTTTCAAATGAAATTATTTGTTTTTTATAAGAAGTAAACAAGTAGAAAAACAATCTGATTTGTACAAGAAATTATATTCGTATTTGTTAGAGCACATTCAAGAGCTGAAATACACTTCTTCTTCCACTCTTCACTTGTTTAGTAATTATGTATAGTAATTATTTCACATCTCACAAAAATCTCTCAAACAATGACCGAAATCAGTTGTGTATATCTGATCGTTTATGAGCTAACGTTTGTACTCATCTCACTAACAAATTTCTACTATTTATGATATTTACTGCATCAGCAAACACAGGTCTCTTCTCTGATGAAGCAATCTTTCTATATAAGGTTTGTTTTGATTATATTTGTGTTAGTATCATTGGCCAAAATTTATTCAAATTTAATTAATCTAGTTTCTATATTTGTCTATTATGAAACATGTATGCTTAAATACAGTAACTCCCCCTATAACACGGTAGTAAAACGCATTATAGAGGTATTCCCGTATATCCCGTCTACACACGTGCAAAGGAAGGCGAAGCTAATTATGAACTTTACAAATCCCTGCGTTATATGGGGGTATGCACGATTGAAATTGCATTATCAGGCTACCGCATTATAGGGGGGATTACTGTAATTTAAATGTTGGTTTTTAAAAAGCGTATCTTTTCGCCACCTGCACACTTTCTCCAACTACTCGTAGTTGTTGGAGATACTACGAGTATATACGTTCATTCAGCTGCAGTAGTTGCAGTTATGTATGTTAGGAGTAAATGTAAAGTAATACATGCTGTTAAATTTATTAAAATTATCAAATAAATAATATTTATACACGATCTTCAAAATTAATCTTCACTTTGTAGAAACAGAAGATCTTAGATCTGATCTTCCTTCTGCTATGCTTATAACCAATTTGTTAGCAATAATTACATTTGACACCTATAATAGTCTGACTTATTGCATTTTTATGCCACATATTTCACATTAATTTTATAATTTTTTTTTTTTTTTATTTTTCATCGCTTCATGCGAACTCCAAGCTAACACAACTAACTTTCAATTTTGATTTGATTTGTTTGCAGAGGTACGAGGCTTTGCCAACCCAAGCGCACAAATCTACTTCAATAAAATTATAATAAACACAATATCAATATGTTTTTTCTTCGCAAGTGAAAAAACTAGGAAAACTGTGAGATAAAAATTTTTATATCAAATCAAGACCTCAACATAAAAAAAGCAGTTTTTATAAATAAAATTAAATGAAAAAAAATAAAAAAAATGAAAAAAAAATAAAAAAAAATAAAAACAAATAACAGCTAAAGGGGGCTGTGTTGAATTTTTGTGAAAATCATAAAATAGTAATATCGAAACAAGTTTGAAAAATAAGAAGAAGCAGAATTTCGGAAAATCTAGTCCGCGAAAAACACTTATACACGTTTGTATGGATTCAAATGTGACTGATTGCAACTTACATAAGAACGTGGGTAAGCTGGAAAACGCATATAAGCGGTGTTGAAACTCAAGTACGGTTTTAGTCTTAGTTGTGTGTTCGCGGAATAAATGTTGATTGTTGAATCGATCGCGCAAATGTCGAACTTACGCGATTTACCGAGCGCCTTAGCCAAGAAGGCAGCACTGGAATTGAATGAAAATCCAGCCGATACGCCTTACTTTCTCAATGCGTTACGTGAATGGGTGGAACAGCAGCCACACTTGAAGTCACGTACATGCGATCAATTTCTTATCGCATTCTTGCGGGCTTCGAAATTTAGCCTGGAAAAAGCAAAAAATAAATTGGAAAATTTTTACACATATCGTTCACTAATGCCAGACTTATTTACTGGTCGGTATAATTTCATAAAAGAAGAAAAAACTCAGGCTATCGTAAAAAGCGGGTAAGTGTTTTTTAGTGATGACTGAGTGAGTGATTGTGCAAAACTAAAAGTGTACAAAAAACAATCGTTAAAAAATAATATAAAAAATATTAAAATGCATTATTTCTATATGCATTATTCAATTAAACAAAGCATGCCAGCTAAATTTACTAACAAATATTCCGGAGAAGACGGTAGAGCTCAATTAGCTAAAGTGTTTAATAATTTAACTTAAAATTAATTACTAGTTATATTTTTTTTTCTTATATTTTCTACTACACGTTCGCTCCATAGTTGTCTGGTGCATTTAGCAGAGCCCATAGCACCAGATGGTCCACGCGTTGTTATGATACGTGCCAACCAATTTGACATGCAGATACACAGTATTATGGATGTGTTCAGAGTTGGTTCAATGTATACGGATTTCTTACTCTATGAAGATGACAATGCAATTGTGTCTGGTTATGTGCTTATAATGGACTTGGGTGATCTAAAGAAAGATGTCGTATTAAGTTTTCAACCAAGTTTTGCAAGAGATTTGGTAATTCTAGCTAACAAATGTTCACCATCACGCATGAGAGGCTTTCATTTTTTAAAGGTGCCAACGATTTTTGAAACTTGCTTCAACATGGTAAAGTCAGTGATTAGTGCGAAGCTGAGAGAACGGGTATGCCAATGCAGTTCATTAAAAAAAAAAAATATTAAAACAAATTGCATTAATATATTTAATATCATTTTGTTTTTCTTTTTTTTTTTCTTTCATGTGCAGTTTTACGTGCATGGTCGTAATTACGAAAATTTATATGAACACGTTCCGAAACACATATTACCAAAAGAGTATGGAGGTGAGTGTGATATGCAGAGCTTGCAAGAGAAGACTTGGCAAAGATTACTCGAGATGCAAGAATTTATAAAAGAGGAAGATAATTTTGGTATCGTGAAAGGAGTGAAAAAATGTAGCAGTGATATTATGAAATCCGAGATGTTGGGATTACAAGGATCGTTTCGGCAGCTCAATGTAGATTAGTGAAAAAATAGTTATAATTAGATTTGTGTATATGCACTTAAGTAGGACTAAATTAATTAATTTTAAAAGTAGTAATATTTTTAAAAAGGATAATGAAGCACAAAAAATTTTTCCAGCACATAAAACATATACTCACAATTTATATTTAATTTTAGTTTTCATACTGATGTGCTTACTGATTAATTGGAATCGTGCCTATCTAAAATACCAAAAATTTATAGATTAATTTTTTATTCAGTTTGTAAGCCAAACGAAAAAGTATAAATAAAATTCTTTGATGTTTTTTTTAAGAAGTTTAAAATTGTTTGAGAATGATTGCTTTCTCTCTTAAATAAAATTATAAAATTGTTATTATTACTATTATAAATCGTAATTAATATAAAGAAATTCATACAGCACTTAGAAAAAATTATAGAATTTTACTTCAAATCTAAATTGACAATAACATATTTGTTGTATGTCTGATTGGCATTATACGATTATGGGCTTATAATATAAAATAAGCCAGACAACGATGAAAACTTTTTTCTAAAGACTTTAGTATTGATTGTGGTTCAAAATAAGGAAGTTTTAAAACATATGTTAATAGTAGTATTCACGATTTTGAGTAATGACCTAGGTAACCAAATAATTAGCAGTGCAAAACGGCTAGAACAAAATAACTTTTTTCTTAACAGTTTAATATTAATTGTGGTCCAAAATAAGGAACTTTAAAAACATAATAGTGGTATTCACGATTTCGAGTAATGACATGAGTAACCAATTAATACATTAGCAGTGCAGAACAGCAAGAACAAAATAATTTTTCTCTAAAAAATAGAGTATTAATTGTGGTCCGAAATAAAGAAGAACATATTTAAGAACATATAGTGGTATTCACGATTTTGCGTAACGGCCTAGGTTACAGAGTAATACATTAGCAGTGCAGAACGGCAAGAACAAAATTAATTTACTCGGATCTTCTTCTATCGATGTACTATTGGTACACTATTGTCGAACTTAATACTTGAGATTGTAAATTCTGGCAATATTTTTATTGGTGTTAGCAAAATGCAGCACTGAAGTAATGAAGACGTTTAAATTTCAGATAAATATTTCCTACTAAAAAATTGCACAATAAATCTATTCAGATGGCTATACTTTCTGGCTGCGAAGAAAGAGATGAGACATAAAGATCAAAGAATTGTAATAAAATATTAAATGCAAAAATGTGTTTATATTTGTGATATTAAGAACAACAGCTCAAAAAATAAAAAGATAGTAACAGTTCGATTAAAAAACAATTTTATTTAGTATGTTATTCATTAAGTCAAATTCAATATAATATTTAAAATAGATTACTGTTTGTTATAATTAAAAATTTTACAATATTAGCATATCAATTTCAAAAAAAAAAAATTCCCCAAACGATAGTTTATATGTTTTTATAAATAAAATCTTAATAAAAAAATAAAGTGCTTTAATGCAGCTTAATTTTCTTATATTAATCTATATTAATAAAGGTTAATATCTCTTAATATAATATCTCTTTTAAAAATTAATAAAAATAAAAAGTAATAAAAGAAGACACACATAGTTACCATATGAAATCTTAAGTTTGTTATACTCTAAGAATAATCTCTTAAATTCTTACAAATAAAAATAAATAAGAAAAATTATTTAATTTTATTTACTGAACATTACAATTATAGTAATAAATTTAATTAAATTCTTTTATTAATTTCATACTATAAATAATATTAAATTACATTTATAATTTTCATTTCATGTTTTCAATGATCACTTAAAAACTTATTTTAAATCTAAATACTATTTAACGCCTGTAGGAAAAAAGAAAGAGCTCGGAAACTCTATTACACAAAAACATAAAGATCCCATTAGAAATTTATTCAGGATAGTCGTAACAGTGTCCATACCCGGACGAGGATACACTACGGTATATGGCAAGATTGTAACTTTTTTAGTACTGGATGCAGGAATCATGATTTAACTAAAAAACATGATTTATACTACACAAAAAAAATTGGTTCTAGTTTGAAATGAGTCCTGATTATCAATACACGGTCCAAATCAGCGATGGTGTGATTTTTCTAAAACGCACCTAACCATAATGCCTAATAAAAATCTGATTTTTAATATAATTATCCGGAGAGGTTTAAGTTTGTATTGCGATCAAATTTCTAGTCGATGAAGTTTTAATTTACCAAGAAATATTCTTCTATACTTCAATTTTTTTTCTCAGTTTTGATAAAAATAAGGTCAATAGTTTGCAAAATTTCCCTGAAAAAGTTACATATATAAGCAATCCATAAGCTAACGGATCAAAATGAAATTTTAAGTTATTTTTAGCCCATCAATGTATGTTTGTTAAATGATTGTTCAGTTCCACTGAGTACACTTCTTTACTAGTGAATAGCATTGTTTTTCTTAATATCGTTCTTTAAAGCTTACATATTTAAAAATCAATTTACATATCATCATAATGTGTATGTAGTACATTAGATTTACGTGTTTGTATCTAATCGTTTATATTTTTTAGCTAATCAGTCCTAATACCTCTTCATTACTTAAAATGTTTCTTAGACATCTATTGATAAGAACTTGGAACCAGATTAATAAGAGCCAGTCAAAGATCCTATATAATTAGAGAATGAGTTTTTCTTTAATAAAGACGAACACACAAGACAGCCGGCTGAAAATGAGAATAGTGTTTATGGTCCTGACGGTATCAACTGTAACAGCGAATAATGCGTAATTTTAGTTACGTCAATTCTGTTCCCGTAATTTCGATGTCGAAGATGAACCACGCAGTGTAAGGCCATTTGTCGAAACCTGCTGCCCAAGAGCTAAAGTTTGCACAAAAAGCTATTGCACGCTTGGAACCCTTTGAATAAGGCTGGATACGAAAAGAAGCTCGATGTAAGGGTGACCGAAAACGGTCGTGGTCGAATCGCGATGAAAGGCTGAAGAAGCCGGGATTGACGTCCTGAAAGGGTTTGCTGTGTGTTTGGTAGGATTGACAGAAAATCATCTACTATGAAATGCTCACATACCGCAAAACTCTTAACTCGGAACTGTACTGTGATTAATTTTGTCATTTGAAGGGAGTCATCGCCCAGAAACGGTCAGATTTAAGCAATAGGAGAGGAATTTTTTTCCATCAGGTCATACACATCGACATTGACTCGTCGAAAACGCAGGAGTTTTATTAGGAAGTTCTTATGCATCCACCTTATAGTCCAGACCTGGCACCAAGTAAGTAACATCTGTTCCTGTTTATGGTAAACGATTTTTCTGGTGAAAAAAATTTAGCCCCAAGAAAGGCTTTTAATAATCGACTCTCAATTTTTTGCCAATAGGGACGAGGACTTCTATAAGAGAGACATAATGAAATTATATTTACAATAGCAACAAGTTATCGAACAAAATGGTGCATTTTTGACCTAAATAAGTTTTATTAAAAATAATGGATTTTATTTTACTACACCTATTATATCATTTTTTTAAGAACATACATATGTTCATAATATATACCCAATACATTTATATATTTATATATTAATATAAACAATATCAAACCTAATAATAATAAATCACTCTGGAACAACCTTTTTTTGTCTACATGAAAAGCTTTGTAGGTTTTTTTACAATTTTTGAATTAATATTATTATTGTTGAATAAATTAGTATCATATATAATCTTCAGACAACATGAATAACAATGGATTATAATTTAAATTTGTTAGATTATACTAAAATCGACACGTTAGAACAAAACAACACGTCAAGCATGTAGTCATTCAAATGACTACTAATAATTTTAGCATATAAAACAATTAAGGACTGCCAAACAACTTATTGACAACACAGATATAGATAAAACTTATCAGCTTTCATGCAGACAGACAGACAGGAGCTGTCTTCAATTAAGTGCCTGTCTAGCACTTATAACTTTTGTAACTGTTCGAAAATGTTAGCAGATTACAATTTATTTACTTGCTAGCTTTTGTCGGGAAAGCTATTAACGGAAGAAATAGGTTAAATTAAAAAAATATTTTATATTAAAGTAAAATATCCATGGCAGTTAAAATTTTAAGTTATTAGTTTTTTATAAAAATATTATTGTAACCAACTGAGGTCGTAGAACCCAAACTAGTCGTCACGTCATAGTAAAATATAAAGTTTTTAAATATAAATCTCATTAAAAATTCAGTATAATATGTCGGCCGATAATAATGTAAGTAACAATTTACATCTAACACTTAATATTGTAATTAAGTATTTAATTAAGTAAATAAGATTATAACATCTTTCATTAACTTGTTGAATTATTAAAGTTTGATTTTAGCCAATGGGACTTTCCAGTAGATCGTATATGGATACGTAAACCTAACTGGGAGATGGCAGTCAAAATAGGTACTTTTGTGCCCGTCATTATATTTGGAATTTGTGGCAATTATATAATTATACGTTTGATTATATTAAATCGATCCCTACGCACACCTACAAATCTAATTATAGCAAATATGGCAGTTGCTGACTTCTTGACATTGTTTATATGCCCTGCACTGTTTATGGTAAATGATTTCTATCAAAATTATCAACTAGGTTGTGTGGGCTGTAAGCTGGAAGGTTTTTTAGTAGGTGTTTTTCTAATCACGGCAGTCTTAAATTTATCAGTCGTCAGTTATGATCGTCTGACAGCAATTGTCTTGCCAACAGAAACTCGTTTATCAATACGTGGTGTAAAAATTGTTATACTTTTAACATGGATAGTAGGTATTGCAGTCGCATCACCATTGGCTATATATCGTGGTTATAGAGTAAGTTTAAAATGAAATTTAAAATTTTTTTAATAAAAATTTTATTTGATAATTTCTAAGGTGCGCCAATGGAAAAATTTTAAAGAGACCTATTGCAAAGAAAATACAACAATTTTACCCAAATATTGGTACTTTCTGATAACAGTAATGGTATGGTTTCCTCTCATGGTAATGGTAATTTGCTATACAGCTATTTTTATTAAGGTAAGTTAATTTATGTTAAATGATGGTATTTACAATTTCGAATAACTAGCTTGCTACCCCTGCAATATAGAAATATTACAAAGAGGTAATAACGAAATACATACGCATACTCGAAATATGTCTTGTTGTTACTCTATATATAAATATAAAATATTATATATATAAATATTATATATATAAATATTATATATATAAATATTATATATATAAATATTATATATATAAATATTATATATATAAATATTATATATATAATATTATATAATAAATATTATATATATAAATATTATATATATAAATATTATATATATAAATATTATATATATAAATATTATATATATAAATATTATATAAATATGACATATTCAATTCTACTTTCAGCTTGGTCGATATGAAAAACGAGTACTCAACCGTGAGCATCCCTTGGCAGTTTCGTACAAAAAAACAGTGGCTAAAACCTTGTTTATTGTAGTCATCGTTTTTATAGTTCTGAGAACACCTTTCACAATTGTTGTCATACTAAGAGATAAAGTTATAAAAAATTCAAATACAATAAACAGCTTATATAGTATAATTTTCTATATATCACAATATTTAATGTTTCTCAATGCAGCTGTAAATCCTATCATTTATGGATACAATAATGACAATTTCAGACGAGCCTATGCTCAAACACCGATATTTAGTTATTGGCGAAAATCCAAAAATACCAATCATTTCATCAATCCACATGAGGTAAGTATATTAATAAATATTTATAAAATTTAGTTATTGTTTTAATAAATCTATTTTATTTGCCTTTCAATAGTCAAGGGCAACAATCGATCAAATTACTTACTATGAGGACCAAAATTGCTTTAAGAAAATATTTTGCTGTGTGTGTTTTATGAGAAATGGAGAATTTGAGCCTACTGAAGAGAGCAGAGTAAATGGAGTATCTAAAACATTTAAGGATTCACATATCATGGCTAATAAATCGAAATGCTTAGAGGAGAATTCGACGTACACACATCATAACCTTAATGAAGGTTTTATATAATATAAAATCATGTAATCTGAATGATCATACATATATATAAAAATACATAAGTGTTGAAAATATTTATAATATATATTACAAGCTTTATTTATATATACTTTATGTACCGAAATAGAATACTAATTTCTTAACTTTTCGGAATTAAAAGCTTTTAAAAAATATAATTCATAAAATAGTGCAATTCTAGAATAATATCAACCAATGTTACTGACCATAAAATAAACGACTGGAGCCATGAATTAATTTAAATTCAAATTGTAACTTATAAATACCTACTCAACTGATGTTTTCCTTATAAAATCCCTTAGTAATAATGCAACATGGTACATTCTCTAAAAGGAGAAAAAGGGACAACTCTTATTAATATACTATTCCAACTGTCCATGCTGTGCATGGTCACCTCTGCCATTTCTCGCTGGGATAAATTATAATTAAGATATATAAGGTTATAAGACTGCTAAGTTTCTTATTATTAGAATTAGAATTTTAAGTAGTTATTAATTTTTTTGGTTGTAAAGAAGATATGCATAAAAATTACCTGCATAAATTGCGTTAATTACTTTTTTTCAAAGAGCTAAATTTTTTTATTGTATTTCTTCTTTACGTCAGATAAAGAAGAATGTCAGATAATACCTTTGTTTGGGTTTTTCTGGATATTCACTATAGAAGAAAGCTTTGTAAACTAAATTTCTTGAATCCGAAATTTATCGTTATTCCCTTTAAATAGATTAAAAGCTTAGCTAGTTTCTATCATGCAGCGAGAAAAAGCTATATGGGGATCCGTTATATATACAAAAAAAAAAAATCATGTAAAAATCATTTCATTTTTAACCTTCAACTTACTCGTATTTTGTTTGTGAATTTGAATGCGTTTTTTTATGAGATATACTCTGTTCTTAGAAAACATTTCAAAGTTAAAATGTTAAAAAACACAAAACAATTAATATTTATATTAATTTTCATAATTTCCTCAAAATGTGCATTAAATTTAAATGTTAAATTTAAATACAATTACAATGCTAAAGTGGAATCATTCAATAAGCCGATGATGAAGAGAGATTTACAACAATTTTTTGATAAAGGTACCGTTTGGACTTTTATGAATAAAAAAACAAAATTATTTAATAATAAATAAAAAACATAAATTCTACCTTTTATATTTATTTTACAAAAATATAAAAAACTGAAATTATAATATTTATTTAAAATCAAATACATATATTAGTATTCAATCAATTATTGGGATGCTCAGTTATAAACGCTACACCTGACAAATTTTTATATAAAAGGTATGCCTTCTTGAAACTCATTAATTGTTTTCAAATGGATTTTAATGCACGAGATATATACCTATAGATATATAGCCTCTCACTATTAATTATAGATTTGAAATATACAAAAAACAATCAAATTTTTTTATAATTATTAATCATCGAATCAACTTTTTGAAACCGAACTAAATTTAAATAAATCAGAGTCAGAGGTCATGGACTTTTTTTTCACGTAAAAGTTAAATAACTTCTGCTCAAAAAGTATTGAGATTTTGTTGTTTGTTAACTACTACTTAAGTAATAGACCATGTTTTTTGTTATGTTGGTACACCCTTTCTTGACATATAAATTTGAGCGCCATCTGTCCATTGGTTTGTTAACAGCAGCTGTTACTGTCAAACTACCTCAAGTGCATTTAGCGATTTTTACGTTTTGAGTCGATTGAATCGGTAAAAGAGAATTCGCTGAAGGAACTAAAAGCCATACCTTCACGGGCCTACGAAAAGTGTATGGAAGATTGGGTTAAGCGTTGGCATATGTGTATTGCTTCAGAAGGAGCATATTTTAAAGAAGATAAAATAAATTTGGATTAAAATTTAAATTTGTGTGTTTTATTTACAAAATCCGAGTACTTTTTGAGCAGAAGGTAGTTTATTATAAAATCTTTAAAATAAAAATTATTCAAAAATAAATTTTTAATTCTTTGAAAATTTTATAAACACTTTTATAAAAATCACAACACATTGCCAAATTTGATAATTCCTAAACTCACCATATGTGTTTTGTTGGATGAAAATTAATAAGATATATAAGATATAATTCATAAACAAATTTTCAATTTATTTAAAAAAAGTATCAATAAAAGTATATTTACAGGGTATTGCTTTTGTTTTTAAATTTACGTTGCACAAACAATAAATTAAATAAAATACATCAAAATGTTTTGCTTTAAATACCAAATAGTTCTTTTTTCATATAACCTGAATTATGCATTTCCAGAAACTTTACAAATAAGCCCATATTCATTACAGCATCTTCGTTTTCTGTATCATCGCAAAATAATTGTTCTTTAAAACCATCAAATCGACGCATTTCATCTATTTTATTTATAGCTTTACGAGATCGTTCCTCTTTACATATATTTATCTTTTGCCAACGCATGGACTTAATTATACGCCAAAATTCTTGTGTATTTTCACATAAGCCCTCTACACATATAATCCCGGGTTTACCAGGCCGGCTGAAACCACTTAAGTTGTAAATTCGTGCTTGTTTCACTATTTCTTGACGTTTAGTCTTAGACTTGATATGATGTGAATATATCCATAAACGCTCAAAATCTACAACTTGTTCTTCAATTTTTGTAGAATCATCAATTGTTAGATCCCTTGGATCTTCTTTTATTAAACTGCTCATTTCTTCCTGTATCCAAGTAATTACTTGATATATATAAGTATCATTTTTTTCTTGCTGATCGATGAATTTCTCCACTTTTACTTTTAAATATTTTTCTTTTGTTTTGCTTAGTAATGTTGAATGTACTATAACTATTGCATTTTCTAACTTTGGATAGAGATGCGGAAGTTCTATGCGTATTTCTACTTTCTCTTCCTTATTATTATCTAAAACAACAGCAACATTGATTATGTAATCTAAATTCGATCTTAGTGCCATTATTGATTCTCTCGGATTTTTTAGAAAGTCATTAAAATCGCTAATAACACTGGGATCTAATATTTTCATTTCTCCTGGAGAACAGTAAATCGATGATAAAAGATCCACTTCTTCAAGTTGTTTTGTTATACATTCTATAAAAATTTCTTGTTCTGTAATGTTAGCCATATTGTCTGGAACAGAATTTTCAAATAGTCGAATTTTCAAATAAATATAAAATATCTATATACATACATATATATATATATAGATATATATATATATAATATATATATATATATACATAATTATATATATAAATATATACAGTAAAAACTCTCCTAACGGACATCTCTGTTGAAGGGACACTCCTCTTTTACGGGTGATTTTTCTAAAAGCAAATTTTTACCTTCCTGAATGGATAAAAGTTGACTTACAATGAATGCCCACTCAAGAGAGTTTTCACTGTATTTAAGTTAACAGCCTGAATATTATATCATATATATGAATAGCATATAAGGCGTATAAAAAATGAAAATATAAAAGACCCACAGTATGAAATGAATTCAATTTTTTTTAAATACAAAATAATGATGTTTTGATGATCTTTAAGTTATATTATTAAAATTAATTTTAACTTCCTATATCAATAATTGAATCAAAATATCTTTCCAAATGTAATCAAATCTAGAGAAGTTTTCCATAACAATTACTCAACAGACTGATTATAAACACTAGAAACAAGCAGTAAGCCGATGAGAAAAAACCAAATAATTTGAACATTTTCTTGATAATGACATTTTTTATTTTCATTATCTGATCAATATCGATATTCTAACTAATATATTCTATTAATATTCTAAATAAATGATTAATCTAACTCATCTTTCTTTACCTCACTATTTTTTTTAAACTAAATATATAGTTTTATGTAAACTATATTTTGATACTTAATATATTATTCGAGCCACTCGAAGTTATTCGAACATATCGAAGTTATTCGAACAAATCAAAGTTATTCGAATAACTCGAAGTTATTCAAACAAATCAAATTTATTCGAACAACTCATAGTTATTCGAACAACTTGAAATTATTCGAACAATTCGAAGTTATATGTGTACATGTATACCTGTATGTATGTATTTAGATAATAACGAATTAAAAGTTTTTAATAATACTTCAAAAATACTTATTTAATATTAATCAATAAATTTTTATTCTCATTAGCTGCTTTTTCTTTTAATGGCTTTGAAAAAGTAGAATCTGTACCAGTAATGTTCCCTTTAGACATATGTATTATGAAAATAGAAGATACTAAGTATGCAGCTGCCCTACAAATTGCCAAAGGTGTACGAAATTTTGTCGTTTTTCGTATGAACGTAAGTACCATCCAAAAGTAGTAACTAACAAAGTAAAAAGATTGTGATATTAGAACTGGATCTACTTTTAGTCGTCATTTACGACAAAGTAATACTAATGAATTCTGTAGAATTTCCATCGTTCTTAAGGAAGCAAATCAAACAGACTTCCACAAGAACGGGCGAACTGCACCGGTAACAAAAAGTTTAATTCCAAATATAATGTTCCAATCTTATAGAATGGCAGCTATACAAAAATAGTGGATTTGCCAACACCGCTGGCTATAGCAATGGATTGCAAAACTTTTGATGATAAAGCATATGTAGCACTGGCATTCAACATAACGAAATCAGTTGAATATGCTAGGGACGCATCACCAATATATCAAATTAGTGGCAATCGTATGCGTGCTGTTCAATATTTTGCTACACCCAATCTAGTCAATATCTATTTACGTGCAACTGGAAATGAACTATTTTTACTACAATCATTTGAAAATTCCAATACGGCACCTAATCAGAATTGTCCATATTATAAATGGTCTGGAACTACATTTAATAAAATGGGCCGCATACCATGCAGTAATGCACGTCATCTTGAACCATTTTCAATTGATTATGAGAGTTATGTCGCTGTAGCTAATTACGCCAACCAACATGGCAAAACAAAAACATATTCCGAAATTTATAAATTTTCACGCGAAAAACGAAAATTCGAACTATTTCAAAAAATAAAAACAAATGGTGCTATCGATGTCAAATACTTTAGTGTGCCTATAAACGAGGTGAAAAATCAGCATTTTTTGGTTTTTGGTAATTCCATAGGTGCTACACAAACTGAGGGCGGTGAGAAAGATTTTGAAGCAAATTCCGTATTCTATGTTTTAGATAAAGGACAATTTATACCATATCAGCAGTTATTATTTTATGCAGTGGAAAAATTTTTACCAATGCAGGTAGAATGCAAATAATTTGATTTTTAAATGTTTTGAAATTAATCCGATGAATATATATTCTATATATCTTTAGAACTCTGATGAGGAAAAATTCTTGTTGTTGGTAGCTTCTAGTAATCAAGACACCAAAATATTCAATTTTAACGATTGGAAGTTTGAAGAATCAGATACACAATATACAGAAGGTGCTTTAGGCAAAGGCGTTTCACAGATGCGTGTCTTTATAGAGAATGGAGATAGTTATTTGGGTAATATATTATTATAGTGTCAAAAACTTCAAAAGAGTTAATAATTTTGATTTTAATTAATTTAGTTATAGCAAATGAGCTTATGGCTGCCAATGAAACAAATATATTCAAACCCATTTTTAAGCAAGAGGAACATGCGAACACTTTAAGGCAGGAAATTATTGATTGGGCAAAAAATACTTTCGAACGTTTGCAAAGTATCGATGTTGAAAAACTAAAACAAGATGCAGAAGTAAGTTTAGCTATAAAATTTAATATTACCAATTATTTAAAGTATGTTTAAATAATTCATGATATAAGGCTGATATATGTCTGAGTCTAAACTAATATCTTTCTAACTTCTCTCATCTAATATCTTCTTCTTTCTCTACATAACATATTTATTTCTCATAAATAGAATATCTGAACTGTTTTGGTTATTGTTCCTTCTCTTACTGAGGTACACATCTTATTATTATTACATATAACACCGCACTATTGATAGTTCTATTAATGCTTTCTATTAAGCTTTTCGATCAAGTTCAACAATGTTCGAGCTACTTAAATTTAATCGGATTGGAATTGGAATATTTGGATCAAAAACTTTAAATTTTCGAAATTTTCTCGAGCAACCGATATGCTCTATTTTTCATTTTTTCGTATTCTTCTATACTAATAAGTATAGCACGAATTCCCCATATGATTTTTAAGCAAGAATCAAAATGAAGCTTCAAATATTCTGATCAATACTTAAGGCTCTTACCAAAAGAGAAAACGTAAACAATTAAAAATTACAAATTTTTTTTAGAAAATAACTAAGATATATGGAGAACGTACAATCATTTATAAACTCCATGAAGAAAATTCTATGATATATATATTCTATTTATGGTCCAATATAATGTATTTAAAAAAAAAAAAGGAAAATATATAAAGGATTAATAAATAAAGATTATCAATATCATTTGTAGGAAAAACTGAAGATAATAGGTCAATTGAAAATGAATGTAGACGATATAAAACAGGCCAATATAAACACCGTGGAGACTAAAACGGTATGTAACATTTATTTTAAAAATTAAAAAAATGTAAAATTCAACAACAATTTCCTTACTGCTTTAGTAATATAATTCATTAAAATAATTTGACCTAATATTAAAAATTTCTCAATATAAGTATTATTTTAATTATTTTCAAGCTTTCTTATCCTCCATTGGGTATAAATAAAAATTATTTGAAAGCACTCAGTTATGCAAATCAAGCATTAAATACACTAGCATCTCAATTAGAACCCAAACAACAACGAAAACGTGAAGTACACACAGAAAATCCGGAAAAATCTGAAGAAATAGTTAATCTTGATAATGTATATGTGAAAACCCTTATAGTACGAAATAAGATTACATCCAAAAACATTAATGGCATAGAGGTAGCGAATCCAATATTTGAATCTATAACTGCTAACGAGACATATGTGACTGGTAAAATTAAGACCCCAAATTATGATGATGATAAGCTTACTATGAATACAGACAAACTTACTAATTTAAACGATGATGAGTTCGATGAAATAAATGTGGATGAACTGCAAATAAGCGGAAATTTGAATGAATATTCTTGGGAAGATATAGTAAACAATACCTTAAAACGTACTGGCGCACAGATCATAAAAGGACCCGCTACAATAGGCACACTGGTGACTAAAAATGTTGAGGTTATAAACAATCACGTTAATGACCACAATTTGAGAAAATTGGTATCAATTAAAGAAGGCAATTATGTGATTAATCAGGATATAGAATTTGCTGCACCGATATCTGCAAAAAATGTGATAATTAATGAACGTCTAAACAATATACATGTATATAAAAATAAATTCGATGTGCTATTGAAAAAATCTAATGAAACACAAATTGTGGAAGGGCTAAAAACATTTAAAGATATCAAAGTTTTGGAATCTATTATAATATCAGTAAGTATAATTCTATATAGATAAATATATGTACTTATTATACGAGCATCCGGTACTATATCTACTATATCTCCGTTTTCTGCTACTCACAAAATGTAAAACATCCCAAACAAGTTCCGCTTCTTAGAATATGACCAGGTCCATGAACGTATTAATTGGGACCGAATTCGTACTGACTAATTGCAGTTCTTTTAAGTTACTGTTGTATAAAATCACATGTAATTTTAGACCAGAACTTCCAAAAATGTGGTACACCTGTGACGCTAATGCTTGTATTTTAAACAGATAATATGTACAACGTTTTATTTAAGTTGATATTGATTAACGTGGGGAATAGGTCGTTTAATGCAAAATTATCTCCTATTACATACTAAAGAAGGAATAAGAGCAAATGTAATCAGAAACAATCTCCAAAGGTATTATACCTCCCCGAGTAAACGAAGACTGAATCGTTTCGAATAAATTTTTGCTTTGGTTACAGTGTTTTTTCATACTCTCGATTCTGTTCACCAATATACAGACAAAATATCTATGAATAATTTGAGCAGGGCTACTTAAAAGAGAAACATACAATAAAATTATGAATAGGGACTGAAATTTTTGGCTCTTTTTGGTCATGATCAAAAGACATGTTTTACGAAGAGTCATATCACGATTGTCAATTTCCTACCTTTACCTCTATATTGGTATGTTTTATGTGGGTGCTTAAATTTAAAAGTTAGTTACTTACATATCGACGCAAAAAGATAAATATTTACTGGTGCCAAGAACGACCGGGTTTACGTCTCGGAACCACTCGTCGATCCAGACTACGAATACCGTTCAATATCCCCCAAAGTAATCACACAAGCAGATCCCGGCGGGTTACAATAACATATGTTTAATCCTAATAGAGGCAATTTTGACATTTATTAATGTGCAACAGTGTTTGGATCAACATGACGCGTCACATAACGTCTCGTTACCGTGACAACATTTTAATTGAATTTTCCTCTCTTTTTCATATCCCCAATCTTTTAATTTACAATAAAAAATCCATTTTTATGTTTGACGTGACCATGACTGTCTGCATAACATGGCTCTTAGACTTTTATATATAGGTATCTTCATTTCTTAACTACTAAAAAGCGTATAATCCATGCAGAGTTATGAAATATCTTAAGATTTTATAGTTTATTTTGTTGCACTGCACTCGTGTAATAATTTTGGTTTGAATATTAGTTCCTAGGGTTTGTTATGGATTTTCCGATTTTATTTACCAATATACGTAAATTGTTTTATATTGTTTATTAATAATTACTTTTATATAGGGAAAAATGGAGGGCCCATATTTCGAATCAATATCACCAACTAAAACCATAGATGAAGAATTAACACTAACGGGTAATTATACAATAATCGGGGATGTAAACATTTCTAAACTATTAAATGTGACTGATATTATTTTTGGAAATACAACTAAACACTCAACTAAAAAAATAATGAAAAATGGTATACGTGTGGATAATTTGGAGAATGTGAATATAAAATTTGAACAACCCATTATCGCAAATAATTCCATTGTAAGCTTTGTTAATGGCCAAGATCTACAGGATTTAGTAAAAATAAATACAGATGAAGTGCAGTTGGTAACTGGAGAAAAAATGTTTAATAATTCTTTAGACATTCGAGGTTTTACCGATTTAAAATATCTTAATGGTATAAATGTACAGAAATTAGAACACGAACTGCTACTAAAGGATACCAACCAGACTATCAAGGTTCCCATGCATTTTAGCAAAGTAATAGCACAAGGGTAAGCAATTAGGAACTATTAATAACTATTTCAAATGTGTTATCTTCAATTATTTTCATTAAAGTATTATTGCTGATAAAATTACTCTCGGTGACAAGGACTTAGCAACATTTCTAACTAAATCCGGCGATCAACACATCAATGGCGAATTAACTGCTAAATATTTACATGCAAAAATTGTGAAAACAGAAAATTTGGACGGAAATGGAAATATTTTTAACGAATCCTTATCTCGCCTATTTCAGCAAAAAGCAAAGCAATTACCAATTGCCGACATTTTACAAAATAAACAAAAATTCCCTGGTACCATATATGTCAAAAATCTAAAGCTCAACACTTCCATTAACGGCATGCCAGTAAGCGAAATCGAACGCAAATTGGCGCAACTTTATGGAAACATTAAATACGTCGGTAATTATAGATTCAATCATAACATGAAAGTCAGGAATTTAAGTTTCTATGGCAAGTTAAATGACATATCCGCCGCCGACTTCGGCCGCTGTTGGTTGCAGAAATATGGTGATCAAACTTTTACAGCACCACAAACATTTGCTGGAGTAACTGCTATGAAAGGTGTACTTCTGTCTGGGAAATTAAATGGTTATAATATTGATGATTTCATAAAAAACACTTATTGGATTAATCGAACTGAGCATATAAATGATGTCGTATTTCGTAAGTTCTATTTCAATATTTAGAACGCACGCTTATATCTCTTTTTCCTTCAACACATTTAGTTGAACCAGTACAAATAGCTGGTGCATTATACACACAGACCATGAATGGCTTACGTGTACCAGATGATATACTCTTTCGTCATTCGCAAAGTCCACAAATACTACGTGAGCCTATTGTTATAGAGAAGAATCTTTTAGTTAAGGGAAAAATCTATAACACCACTATAATAAATGATATAGATATACCTGCACTAGAACGTTTTCTTGATGATGAAACTTATGAAACTTTACATGTGGAAAACGCTACATTCACATATGCACCATACTATCAAACACTAAATGGTCACGATATCGGAGAGCTCTTAGATACAGTTTGGCAGCTCAATGATGATGTCGAATTAAAGCAACGCGTAGTTATTGAACATGCCGTCTTTGAGGGTTTATTGGACTTTAAGGTTTATTTACAATATATACATATAAAAATATATAATTATGAAATAAATATTTTTTTTAAAGGGTACTTTAAATAATATTAATCTGAACTGGCTGAAAGACAACTATTTTAGTTTAAGTAAACCGCAAGAAATTACGACAAAATTCATCTTTAATAATGATGTCATTTTTGAGGATGTTTTGGAAGCTGATGAACTACAAGTATATGGATTAATTACTGACACTGAAAGGTAAGTGTAACTGCATAATAATCTGCTATGATAGAGCATAAATAGTAAATTTTTTTAAAATAAGTTAATATATTTTTTGATTCTATAAGTCTACAAATTCGTGGTATCACTACAGGTCATTGGTGTCTTAGCGAGCTTTGATGCAGGCTGTCACTCCAATTTAACTTTATCTAGATCTGTAGATTTATTCGCTACATGCTTTCCCAAATCCAATTTCTATATCTATACCCAAAATGATTCTTTATTATCTGTAAAATTAATAGAATATATAGCCTATTACGAGACACTAAACATCAAAAACTCTATACGTGTCCCCCAACTCATTCTGAATTTTTCTAACGAAAGTGTTCGCATTTATAAAGTCAAATAGAATATTAATAGTTGGCTATATATATTAAAACAATTTTTTATATTATCGAATGGTCTGAACAAAACAGAACAAAGAGTCTAACCAATACTTCTGTGGTTGATCTTCTTATCGTAGATCCGGTACATCAGAATATTGGGGCAAACGAAAAAGGCTGTAATCAGAATATTAAGGTAAAAAGAAAAGCTGATGAATAGACAAGGAAATAACCTATCATGCGAAAGGCTTTTGCAGAACCGGTTTTCATGTCCCTATATGATTCTAAAATTAAGTTACATTATCTCTAATAAACAGGAATAAAAACAATGTCTCTAGACTAAAGCAGTCATTAGTTATTATTATTGGTGAGTAAGTCTCCAAAATGGGAATTTCTTATAACATTTATTATCACAGCTGCAACCAGTCAGAAGTAAATGTAACTCTTTCCTATTTCCTCTGTGCTTGTCCTGGTCATCAGAAGAGAAGCTTAACTGACCACCCTTCTCGAACAGTGACGACCGATAAAGATTCTTAAACCACATGTACTGTTTAACTGCCTACACAAACAACGAATTAGACGGTTGATTAAGAAGATGTACTATCGACCTCGTATGAAAGAGCTAATTGAAATCACAATCAACGTCACCACTTGCACCAACTAATAATATATAGCCTCCTTTTTTATCAAAGTTTAATTCAGTTACGTTCCTAACACAAACACTCTCTCGCTGTTATCCACCCACCTTCAGCATAATACTATTAGTTTAATATCTAATTTATTTGCAACAAAAATTTAAAGAAAACAATAGTTTCTGTGAAAAACTTATGGATTTGGTCAACTCACTTTGTTGAGTTGATGCAGTTATAAATTAAAAGAACTTTTGTTAGCTATAATGAATACAAGCAATGACAAGTTTTTTTATCATTCTATAAGAATTCTACCAATAAGACCAGTTTTTCTGCTTGAAATGAACATTTCTAAATCTTCTGATTGTAAAAAGTGAATATGTTACGTACATTAAGACTGAAAAGTTTTCGGAAATTCTCATTTAAAATTCGCGCGCTG